ATACATACATACATATATACATATATACATACATACATACATATATACATACATATATACATACATACATACATACATACATACATACATACATACATACATACATACATACATACATAAATACATACGTATGGTGCCACGCTTAACAGTGTATATCAAGGAATTAACAACGTTTCACCGCGCGACATCACTACACGGACATGTATTTTTTCAATTAGGCTTCATTAGGGAAGGGCACTGGAGTGGGCGAGCTTTCTGCACAATGTAAGCATTTTCTCTTTCCCGGTGCTTCCACTCTACTGAGCCATAATCGAAAAACTACATCACCCTAGCTCAAATCACGAAGACTTGGGACCGCAGAAATGACTGGTGCTGAAAGAATTCTCCTCTTCGCTGCGATGCAGTGCTATGTTGCTTAGTGATTTATATTATATTAGGATAGCAAGAAAGCTCTGCGACAAAATGGAGAACACTTTAAAACCATTTCTAAAATTTTTCATATAAATCAATTTTCGGACATATATTTACCAAAGAAGCCAACAACCTTCTTCGATCCTTTGAGCCAATCGCTGATGCCATCTGTTCAGGAGTGAGGAAGCTGTGACTCAAAGAACTAACTGACTGCCGTTTTTAGATCACATTAAGTTACGAATTTCTTTTCCACAACGGGATGCACAAGAAGGCGGCGCACATGGAAGTTGAAATGGGCAACACTCCGGTAGTACGACTGATGAACAACAGGAACCAAGCGGAATCGGTGAATTTTTGACGTGTGTCTAAAGCAAATTTTCGACGTGCACTGTCCCTCTGTATGGACCTGATTTACGGTTTTGGTCGGCCTTCTCTAACCCTGTTGGCCAAATAAAGGGGATCATATGGGCAAGCGATAGCTGTGTCCATCTCGTCTGCGTTCAGCAACTCATCGTGGATGAATTCCTTCAAACTCCATTAAAGTAGGGAACAATGGTTGTGTTACTCCGAAGGCCTTTATCTCCTGCAGTGAAACGATCCAACCGATTGTTGACCGTTGATTGGTGAGCAGTGCTAGCATCGAAAAAGTCACTGACAATTTGAGCCGCCATACCCGCCTTTTTTTCATTGGTGTGCTTTGTAGTGGGTAATGGTACGAATCGGGTGTTCTCCATTCATTGACCGTAATGCTGCGAAAGCCCAGACAAGTTCCCTTATTTACTCATGCGTTGATTGCCCGGGGAATGTCCTACGAGTTTACACTCTAACTACCTTGCTCCCACTGTTGACACAAATTTTCAACGCTTCAAATTTTTTGTCGCAGAACTTTCTTACCAACCTAACCTAAAGAGAACCGAGCAAATTGATTGGACATCCTTCAAATTTACGAACATTTCAGTATCCAGGATTCATCGACCACCGCTTCCATAACCGTACTCAAATACAGCGTAATTCACCTTTTTCTCAAGTGTTTTGCCTAAGTTCACGCGAAGCTGCTACTTACCGAAAAATGCAAGGTGATGTGACACCTTCCAACCAAGTCATGCAAAAACTATTAATATACAGAATGTAACAATTTCAGTAATCGGCGGGGCCACCGTTTTTCTTTGTATAGCATCCCACTTCGCACATCAGCAGGGGTCCATAAAGGATCTGCTTTCTCAGATAAAATGTAATTCAACTGTCGACCTGTTGCATATCAGTCGGTACATATGTATGTGCGGCAGTGCATCACCCTCCATAGGTTTTTTATACTCACTACCGGTTCAGTATATGGTTATTTAGGTTGCGGATAAGATTTTTAACAAGCAGTTGTTCTTCCGGCAGAATCTATCAGGGTAAGAAGTGAAATTAGGTGACTGATATATCATTTCCTGAAATTGAAAAATCGACCATGTTCCACCATGAAAGCAGAGCAATCAGTTTCAGAAACGAAACTAACACGATCGGGCTTTTTTCCTTAAAGTATTGCCTACGATTTCAGTTCCGGCTGTCATCAACGACAGCTACCGCAACCACAATCTTCTTTTTCACAGCCCATTGAGCCCACTCTAAGTCGTCAACTGGTACAGCGTATAGTTAAATGAGCCCGATTTGCAAGTGGTTTTAGGACCCATAAGCTCACTTACTTCTCCAAGATGCAGTGTGTAGAAGTGAAATTTGCAAAATTCTGCTTTGATCGTGCACTAGAGGAAGGTCAGGCGTTTGTGAAACAGTTAAAATTCAGAGTTTCGGACTGTCTGATGAACAAGCTGGTTCGCAGTTAACCCACTGCGTACCGCAGTGTTTTGCGCTAGCTGCCGAATGTGCCCGGCGTTTCCTTCGAAATCGAGCGGGCGACGTGGTTCACGGCGTGCAGCACTTAGCCACACAGAGCGGTTGTTTGAGCGAATCGCAAAGTATGGACAGTTCAAACTTTATCAAAACTATAGAGTGATTTTGGACGAAAATGCGGGCGCGCAGAGGCGAAGGGGCGTGCTTCACCATGTGCAGCACGGTACGCAATGGGTTAATCTGATCTGAGCTTTTGGTTAGCTAAGGTGCTGGCTCTTCAAGTGAAAGACGTTGAAGAAAGAGTGCAACGATGAATACTAAATTTTGCATTTACCCTCCCTATAAGATGTTTTCCGCGGTGAAATACCCCAATCAAGAAAAAGATTGAGTGTAAGCAACTCGTATCGCGAGTACAGACTACTCTCTTCACCACATTTAAATCAGAATAGTCATTGGAAGCCAGAGTGGAATTCACAAACGGAGTTCTGAGAATTAAGCAGCCGTGAAATATTGTATAAGGGTGAAATAATCCTTCAAGGAAAAGGCAGTGTGAGACAGGCGCCTTGTTGAGGTAGACCGTGAGTCGTGTTCGTTGATAAGAGAATAGAGCATGGGGATTTCCTGTGTTGATGTGAGTTCCCTACCCTAACGCATTCCTTACCTGGATTAGTGCGAGGTTGGCCGGTGGTCGGCTCGAGGGTTCAAATCTTGGTGATAAGTAACGCGTCCTTGTGAATGCGAAATGTATATTAGAGTTCAATAAGAGGCACGGTTAGCTTTAAAAATAGCTTCTAAGATTTCTTCTCAGGGTGAACCTGTGACCACCAAGGCTTACCTAAGGGACGGGCCGGGTCGAAAAGCAGTCACAATAGAGCGAAATACGGGCACTCAAAACCGGTTTGGCCGACCTACACACCCAAGGCGGAGGAGTTGCTATGCGTTGTAGGATCTGTGGAGGTTGCACCATTCGCATCAGGACACACGCGTTGCACGCAAGCAGCGTATTTCAGCTAGCAACATGGGGTGTGTGTACATTAGGCGATTCGAACTGCGCGCGGCAAGTTGCGCGGCAAAGTTCATGGCGATTCAAATCACTCTGGCGCCCATTATTGGGGCACAAACTCAAGCAGAGTAGTTTAGCATGTCAGCCGGTCTCACTAATCTACTTTACTTCAAAACTGGGCCCCAATGATAGGCGCTAGAATCATTCAAACTCTCGCTACGAACTTCGCCACATTTGCCGCGCGCATCCTGAGACGCGCGTAAGTCCCGTCTCCGAGTTACGCGCGCCGCGTTCGAACAGTTTATCCTACTCCATCCATGCAGCTTTTCTCGTAACATTCTCGCCCAACCCTAATTTCACTTCTTTTTCGAAGCTTAATACTTCTTTAAATACGTCGATTTCCGCATTTTCTTTGCTACTTTTGCATTATGCTTGACTAACACTTCCACTACTATTCTAAAATTCCTAACCCAAAACTACCGTGAACTGTACCCTCAAGACATGAGCATTCGCATTCACAGGCATCGGTTAGTGTTATTGCTTGCAGTCAGTTGGTGGTTCATTGAGTACTAAGATGGCCTAGGAGGGTCATAGCACACGCTCTGATCAAATTACGCTGAAAAACTTTTATTTGACATAGTCTGAAATGCTCGAACGTCTCCACTTTTGTTGCTTCATTCGTGCTCAAAAAAAACTTCAACTAAAACTGAACAAAAAAAACTGAGGTGAAATCAACAGGTCAATAATCATCAAATGTGAGCAAGCATTGGTAATGGTTTATTACGGTGGGGCATGAGTAATACAGCAAAACTGAAGTGAAGGCGTGATGTGCAACAGCGACAAAACAACAATAATTGGTTGAGGTTAGTTGAATGTAATGAGGCAAAAAACGATATTTGAGGGCTTTGGGCAGGAATAATTCACATTTATTTGCACGTGTGGTGCCGAACACACATAGCACTTCGTGCCTAAATGTTGGCAGTAAGGTTAGGCATGCAACCATCAGGTCAAACAAAACCTATAGGTGTTAGTGACGAATTCTACACAGAAACATAGTGCCAGAGAACCAAAAAAAGCAGCTGTGCAGCTCACACATAGCTAAACCTAACTGGACCGTAGGAAAAGTGAAAAGAAAAAAGTGTGGAGCAGCAAGCGCAACGGGAACCTGCTCTGAAAAGCATCTGCCCTGCTGAAAACGCCTCTTGAAAAATTCTCCGGTCCATGATCGAACTTCTAGCACCTCTCCATTGTGAATTAACTCAAGCTAACGCAGGAATTGTTAGTGAGCTATTTAGATATGCTCCATATTTCAACATTGAGGAGGTGCAAAAATAACACCGTCAACGCGTGCGGTTGCAACGCGACGGAGATAGCAACTAATCAATGTCAGCGCCAAATCAAATTCTCATGAATGATCCATTGTGAAGTGCGTGTTGTAATTAAAGTGCGTAGGGAAGAGCGTATATGCCTTCCGCAAAGCAATGTTGGGACAACGTGCGTCAAAAAGCGCTGGCAGCAACCACCTTCCCTGTTGAAATATCGAGTTCAATTTTTACGATTCTTCTACGAGTATAATATTAATATATTAGAATGTTGATGAGAACAACATTCTATGTAGGTCTACGATTTTGGAAACGAGCTCGCGTTCTGTTCGCGCCGAAAGGACGGCGACTGAACGCATTTCGATTACGAGAACTTATGCGGCTGCGAGTAAAACTAGTAGTACGGCCACGAGATGCAGTAGCGCTACCACTACGAACCACTGGTATTACTGCTGCTGGTTGTGGAGCTGGAGCTGGAACTGGAGGAGGAGCTGGAGCTGGAGCTGGAGCTGGAGCTGGAGCTTGACCTGGAGCAGATGGCAGAGCAATACGGTCGCTACCGAAAGCCCTACTGGTATCCATTTTGAACTGTTTCACTGGCGGTGGTGGAGTCGGCAATGGTTTCTCGTAGTTCTCAATGCCGTTCTTCGACACTCGACACGGCGGAATCGGTGGCGATAGCACAGATTTAACCCAGAACATCGTCTGGTGTTTTACTACGGTCGCTCTGAAAATCAAGTGATTTTTGTCATGCAACGTTAAATCTGAGCACAATGCAAATTTTCAAGTAGTGATGTGACTAGTGGAATCATCTTACAATTAGGAAGCGCAGTGGATGCAATAATTTGACTGACAGAGGCACAGTTCACTTTAAAACTGTTTCTGAAAATTCTTCTTAGGATTAACCTGTGGCCCCAAGACCTATGACATGGGTCTCGACATTTCGTTACAAAGACTCCAGTACGGGCTTGGCCAACGTACACACCCAAAAGTGGCTGTGTCATGACAACCTAGTTAAGGCTGGGCCACTCACTATGAAGCGTTAGGACATAGTGCGCTCATGTGGGAGGCATCCAAACAATCACAGACACATGGTCCCCTACAACCTCCTTCCTTAGTAATTTTTCGTATCCTTCTATTTCTTGAAATTCGCCGATTTCCACACTACACTCGCCATTTTGGCTTTGCTCTGCACTATAAATTCCATTATTTCATTTAATGTAGATGCCTTAGATTCATCATGAAGTGTGCCTCTACGAGTAAGAGTTTATAGAGGAGCGAGAAGGGATCTTGCATATAAATATCTACATATATCTTCTATTATCTATTTGCATACGCATACATATACCTTCCTCGTCACTATTCCTTACTGTACTTTCTAAAGGCAATTAAAAAAACGAGAGGATCCACATCTTATATCCTCTCCGGAGGCGGTTATAGAAGTTCCCTGACTTTCGAATGTTCTCGCATCAAGGCTTCAACTGCCTTCAAGAAACCCGTAATAGAATTGGTGGGGGCTGTGCATTGAAAAAGATGTACAAACGTAGTTATAAGCCTCAGCCCCCTTTTCGGCAGCGACTAGTTCATAGAAATCAGAGAAATGAAGTTTCAGACGTTTCTATGGCGGCTCATCGACAAAAAAGTAAAAAGTGTCTTGTCGGCGATATATCGGCAAAAAAGTCCACCGGTAGCCTCTGCGACTTCTGTGCTCCAGATACACTACTGCAGCGAGTGTTGGCTCGTGAGCAGAAAAGATGGAAAACAGCTCCACTTCACTTTAATGAGAATGCTCACATGGGCCTGCGGTTAAACGCGGCTGGATCGAATCAGAAATGAAGAAGTCAGGGCGGCGCCAATGCGAACAACCCCATTCTGGCTGAAGATAAGAGAGCAGCGCCTGCGATGGTTCATGCATGTACCAAGAGGACCACAGAATCATGCGATAAGGAGGCAATGGCGTTCGAAGCTCAAGGTAAGCGACCACGAGGAGTCTCAAAAAAGGGATAGCGGGCAAAAGGTGATCAAGAATGACCTGGCCGAAGCTAAGCCAACGGCTGCAGATGTCGTAGATAGAAAGAAGTGGAGAAGACTGGAAAGATTAGCAGACCCTTCGACGGTTCGTTATCAACACTAGGGAGAAGAAGAATATCAGTGAGAAGTTTGGATAAGGAAAAGCTCCAAAAATGGACTACAATTTGGCTAGTGTTCCAGTATGTATGTAGTGAGGATATTTGGTAAGCATGAAAAACTGAAGAAAACCTCACACAAACTGCACAGTTCTACTATCCTCATCGATCTTCCACCATAGACGGATATGCTTCTTCTTTTCATCGTGCGAGTGTGTGGCAGAATTTTTGAATCTTCAATCAATACCTCATCACTGATCCTTTTTCATATTTTGCTGTAGGCCCGAACATTGAAAAAAGTACCTGAAACACTGCTGCTGCCATGAGCCGTTGTCGTCAAGTCGCATCAATTGCCCCATTCTGAAAATAAGCTTCATCAAGGAACTAGAGTTTCAGCTAAGCGGGACCTTTCTCGGCCCATTCTGGTTTCGCCATGGAAGGTGATGGATGGTTTTAGATGTAGATTGATAAGGGGCGCTGTCCAACTAGCAAAATCAAAAAACTTCTTCACGAGATCTCATCCTGTTTGCCAAGAAAAAGCGTACCTTTGTCCTAGTTGACCGTTGTTCCACTCAAAAGGCTGTATGACGAAGCCTTTGTACCACACTGTATCATTCACTCCTTGGAGATGCACTGAAACGAAGTTCAAGACATCCTTCCATAGAGGATCCCAACGGAATCCACGATCCTAATCAGAGACATCCAAATAAAAAAAGAAGGGCTCACGTGTAACAGGCTGATTCCTCCAGTAGCACTTCTGATCTACCTTAATTTCGTACGGTGGGGGAGTCAACTGAAATCGAAAAGTACCGAAAAATTCTAGACCTTCCATATTTCATGACTGTGGTTTTATTAGGCTCTGTTTCAACTCCCAGAACAAAAAAGTCTGCTGATAGTCCACGCCTCGGGAAGTGTCCCAAAGACGTTTCGAATCATAAAGAATGAATGAAGCGGCTAGGGCTGATGAGCTCGAATAATGCGAAGTTAATTAGCGACCTCACTTTCGCATTCCGAATACTCGGAAATAAAACCAGAAAAATAGCAACTAATGGGTTCTTAACCTATCCAAGAGAAGTCCGGGATATCATCAGAGAACTCGTGGAAATTCTATTCACTTGCTTTCCACTCCTACCTCTAGCGTACGGCAAAGGACATTGAAAACTTTAGCAGCTTTTACCAGAACCCCATTTTTTTTACCAAGTTTCGATCGACTTTTCATCTTTGTTCCAGATACTCTTACTACCAATGAAAAAGGATCTCGATCAGTAATACAGTCTCCATTGTGGTCTACAACACATGTTCGACCATCCGGCAGTTTTCCGATTACCGAATACTGATTCGAAAAAGCTGGAAATCTCAGTTTTGAGTTCCGAGCGATTTTAAAGTTTTCTAATGCTAAAGTGATATCTCAGAGCAAGGAACAAATGGTAATAGGACGGAGCAAGTCATGGTGAATAAGGAGAATGGAGCAGCACTTTCCATTCAAGTTCGGGAATCTCCTGACGAGACAGTTTCGCGACATGGTCGAGCANAAGAAGACAGACATTCATGCAAGCACAGCATAGAGCTTTATGATATAACTGTGACGGAAATGGCATGTAAGTTATATTCTTAAGGGATTTCAGACATTGCGCTTGCGTAAAGAGCCGACTACATCTAGCCAAACCGCTATCACCTTGAGTCACGAATGTTGTTTGAATTTCTAACAAGGGTGTAAGTTGTCATAACCGGCTAATCCATCACCCCTTCTTTGGAAACTGATACTTCTCTTCACAAACAATTTGATACACGTCTAACAGAGCAGTGCACATGGCACCCAGTATGTGCCTAATGATCAGAGGTCCGATATGTTGCTTTAAAAAATCACCTATCAACAGTTTAATTGTTAAGCAATCGAAGCCTTGAATGGTAGTCACAAATCTTGTCGATTGATAAGATAATACTATCGTTATCAGATATCGCTATCAGTGGAACATTTTCTCTGCGGATACATCGTCTGTTGGGAACCCAATATTATTGGCGGCCCGATAAGAGTTATCGCAAATGATATCGAAACAAAGGGAACCGTCGCAAAAGTTGCTGAGAAGTAGTTGTTTTCCAGCAAAAATTAAGTGAATTCTTAACCTCTGAATGGAGTGACTTTTATCGGTCCTATCACTGCACTTTCTTATTGGATGAAATATACCAAAAAGCCAAGGTTAGATCGTAAATATGTAGTAGAGGTGTTAGGGTAAATTGGTAACTGGCTGGTGGCTCTTACTTCCGAAGGTCCTTACCAGTTCTTATAAATTTCCTGTCACAGGGCACCTACGATCCCGTCGCATCCTACATCATCTATTGAAATGTCAGGGTTCCGCTGTAGAAATGGAGGGCGTTACAGACCCAGCGGCTTTGGCCTTCCATGATTCTTTGTCAGATCCTTTTGCTTGTTTTCAGTCTTTGTCAACAACCACCTCATACTATCCCTTCATATCCCACACCACCAACTTAAGTGTCAAGGTTCCACGATAGCACGAACAAGGTATCGGATCTTGCAGCTCTCGGATTTCAAGGTTCCTTATCAGCTCTTATCAATTTTTATCACTTCCTATCACCTGTCACCAGTGTTACCATCCGGCCGTCTGTACCCCTTCCCAATTTGAACGCTTTAGGAGACAGAAGTTTGAATTAAAGCATTTCTTTCGCCCCTTTCAGCCCCTTCAGGTGGAATCTAGTCCTGCCACCTACAATAAGTGTTCCCATCGTGCCGCCTCAACTCCTGCCAGGTTTGAACGCTCCAGGTACACGGGAACAGGCGTTATGAAGTTGCGGTCAAACACACACAACGACACCCACACAAGCACACACATACGCATAATAAATGATGAAAGGATAAAGTTTTTGGCGTTAATCAATCCCTCTGAGATATGCGTCCCCGCACTTGACTTCCATTCAGAATCGTAGTGGCCTAGTGAGTGCGTATGTGGCCTAAAGAATGACTTGCGGTGGCTGGCTGATATACAAGTCAGTGCTTTTATCCTCACAGACGAGTCTGGTACCAATTCACCGACCCCGGAGGGATGGAAGGTTTGGTTGTCCTAGGCGGGCATCATCCGAGATTCGACCCCCTGACCGTGCGTGTGAGATAGCGACCCACTTGCCACTACACCACCTCCGCCCATACACACACACATACAATATGTATATTGCCACAGTACTCGGCTACCGCATCTTTCCATTGGTTATTCAAATCGTCCCCTCATAGCGAACGAGCGCGCGTGATGGGATGAGACGAGTGCTCTACTACAGCGCAATTTTGTATATTTTGTCCAACCTTGTGAGTGTTTTGCTCTCTTTCATCCTCGATAATTCTTCAGAGATGACTGGACTGCTCCTGACTACCGCTATGACTGTCATCGTTATTCATTCGATTTAAGAAGAGTGAAATGGCACGTATAATAAAAGAAAAATAAATAAAAACAAGGTAAGAGTGCAAGTGCTCAATGGATGGGCAGTTTCTTAGATACGTCAAAATTGAAATAGCCTACAGAAGACAATGAGGGGCATTGAGGTATGACAGTTTTCCTCCGCAGAAGTTCAGGTAGAAAACATAGAGGCCATAAGGCCATGAAGGGCGCATATCTACGGTATGAGCAACGATTGTCTTTTACTACGAAGCCTTTATGAGTTCAAATTGGTTAGAGGGGAGAGTGGATTGATATACGAACGGATGAGATCGGAGGGGAAGGGATTGGAGGGTCTTATTTGAGAATGTTAATTTTGCTTCTGCCTCGAGGTTGTTAGGTGGAAATCTTTATTCTGGCCAACGTTTCGACG